CGCCCCGAATCCACGCCCGACGGCTACCACCCCGCCTCCCCGCGCCTCCTCCTCTCCCTCCTCGCCACCGCCTTCTTCCTCTCCATGCCCGCCGTCGCCTCCCAGGCGCTCCAGCTCATCCTGCGCACCGTCGGACCGTACACCGCCGTGCGCTACCTCAACTTCGCCGTCGGTCGTGGCGTCGGTGAGCCCGACGAGGGCGAGACGGGCGACGGTATGGAGGCGGCGGTCGGCCTCGAGGAGATTGCAGAACTAGTAGCGGAAGAGGCTAGCAGCGTAAAAGGAGGACGAAAGCAGGAGGGCGACCTCGTGCAGAAGATGAACGAGCTCGACGTGACTGACGACTGCAAGATCAAAATCGAAGAAGCACCCACCTCAGCAGCCTCTCAAGAATCCTCCTGCGGTCACCGCGAAACGAGCATGGGCATCCACAAAGAGGCGCCCCTCTCCATCTTGTCCGACACGGACAGCGAGGACGCAGGGATCGCCGCCCCGAGCCTCGTCTCCGCGCTCGAGCCGCGCTTGTACTACGGCGCGGTGTCGGACAAGGTCGGCGAGGCTGCCGCGTGCTGGCTTGCGCGCTGGGGCGTGGACGTCGTGCAGTATGAGCTTGAGGTGGAGGAGAGTTGTGGTGCGGGCGCGGAGGTGGGGCGAGAGCAGAGCGTGCATGTTAGGTGGGATGCGGCGGACGCGGGACGCAGCGCGGCTGGGTCGAGGAAGCGCACGGCGACGGAGCCCGTGAGGAACGGTGCGGGCCCCAGTGAGAGCGCGTGGAAGAGCCAGAGTGCGAGTGCGAGGGAGAAGGAGCGGGAGAGGGCGAGGAGATGGCGATCTCGAGAGACGTCTCGTCGCCGACGGGGCGGCATTGTGTACCGTTGCACGTGCCACAGTTCGCACACTGGAATCAGAACGTCCTGCGGCACTGCATATTGACGCGTTCGTCCTCATCGCCGCTTACGCGCCCTCGCTCCTCGCCGCGTCGGTCAAGCGCAACGCTTTCACGCGTGGCTCAACGCTTCCGCCCCTGCTCCTTGTTCCACACGTCGATGCTCGCGCAGACTCTGACCCAACGAGCAATGCACCCGATCGATGGCATCACACGCGCGCGAGCAGCGTCCGATGCGACCGTGCATGCAAGCCTATAGGTGAGTGTCTCGCTCTGTGTTCTGCCTGCACCGGGTCGTCTATTGGGAGAGTATGGGCTCGCCTCCCCTGCGCCGTAGACACTGGGTCGTGGTCGCATGCAGGATGGTCATGGGCGGGATTACGTCGGTCTGTTGTGCTGCCCACAACTCTCTTGGTGAGTCCCTTTCTGTAATGCTCGTGCACGGATCCCTGCCCCCACTCCCAGGGACGCGGGCATCGCTCACGCGCTCTCGACATTCTCCCCCACATATCCTCCCCGGGCGAGCTGCCGACGACCCAAAGCTCGCATTCTCGCCCTCATGTCTCCTGCCGCCTGCTCGTGACGCTCGCGTGTTCGTTCGATGGCGCGTTCGCGGCACTCATACTCGGCTTCTGATGGTGAGTGCTCAGTTCATGCCCTCGCAGAGGTAGATATCTACGCCCGCCCGGGCATGCTTCGCTTCGTGTCACAGGCAGCATGCACTGCTCGTGCCCAGGCGCCGCGAGCGGTGGCTTTCACATGGTCTCACGCGCAATTGACCAGACGGCCTGCCTGCGCGCGACGCGCGCGGTCGCCTGGTGCGCTCTTTATTCCAAAGTGTACTAGACTATATACATGAAAAAATAAACGGCTACTCGAGTTCGACACGGCCCTTAAGCGTTGAGAGCGCCATCCCAGCACCGAAACGCGGCAGCAAACGTACTTCGAAGCTTGAATACATTGCCTGCCGGCGCGGGCTCTTACTTAACGACGATAACTGTCCGTGAGAAGCCAGCAGGAGAGAACGAGCGCGAGACGTGCATTTGTGCGGATCGCGTATGGCTGCGATGTACCGGCGAGCGCGTCTCGCGAGGCATGGCAGCCAGGACGCTGCAACCTCGCTCGTTCGGTGGTGTGCTGCTGTTGACCATCAGCCTGGTGCTCGCCAGAAGCGCTTCACCTTGGGCGACAGCGATCGTCAGCCTGGGACACAGAAGATGATGGGAGATGGGCAGTCACCGGAATGAGCATGAATATAGCCGTCGCTCTCAAAATGACCTTGCAAGGTGGAACACTGGGCAGAGCATCGGATACGCTGGTGGTCTGATAGGGAGGCAGGAAGAGCTCACCGACAAGGAGACCCGGAGAGGGGAATGACCGCCAGTCCAGCCCTTGTTCCTCGCATTCGTTCCAGCCCCGTCTGCTATCGCCACCGGTCGGCTAGATGCACAGGCCGAGCGGGCGTATGAGGGAGATAGAACGCGGATGTGGTGCAGAAGTGGGATTCGGATTCCGAAGAAGAGAAGGTCAGCTGTGGTGCATGCGTGTGGTGCGAACGTCGGAAGGTGCGTCGCGCGAGATAGCGGCGGTTCGAGGTTCGCATCCGGGAGACGCGTGAGGCTGAGTGTCTCACCTGGTCATGCAGATGTTTGGTGTGTGCAGGGGCGGGAGTGGTGCATGCTACGTTGGTGTCGCCGAGCGAGGCTGCTTGCTATCTGTTGCGGTGGAGAGCAAAGACCCAGGATCATTGGGAATGCCCTTCACGGTGTTGATTCGCGAAGGTCCGCAGCATCACAATGGAAGAAACGTGATGAACTTCTTGAACGCCGTGATGCTGCATGATTCGCAATCGCGGCGCCCTAGAACCATTCTTCCTGGCATGCGCAGAGTTCTCCTCACTGCACTCACCTTGCTCATCATGCCTGACCGTCGACAGTGCAGCTTGACTCAACCCTGAGGACTGCAACGTATGAGGTTGTGAGACATCAAACAGGCTCAGAACTCACCGGGCAAATTGACCTGCCTATGGTGGGCTTCGTGCAGAGGACACTCATGACTCATAGAAGCACGGAGAATGGCATCGCCTTGCGCCTGGTATGAGTCCAGACGATCCTCTTCCCTAGACCGAATGGCTCGCCCATGAATTGTCGACGGCGAGTGGGAACGCAGACGAGGACCCCGCGACTTGTGCGGGTTCGATATCAGTATTAACGCACGGAAACGGCACGCCGAGTGCAGGGCGGCACGCACCTTGGGAGGGCAGCCCATCCAATGACGGGATGGGACATGGTGCAGAGATACACATAGTGAGTTGAGCGGCGGGCTGCTGCAGCGAATGCAAACGTGCACGCCTGAGCTCGAACGACGCAGTGTGAGTGCGGAGATCCACAGACAATGTTCACGTGAGTTTTTATTGTGTCCGAGCGCACATCGGGTTGATGCATCGTGATCGGTTGATGATTCGGGAATAGTCTTTCGGGGTCCGTGGGAGAGCGTGACCGAGGCTCGCCCTGGC